CTTCCTCCTCCTCCTCCTCCCCTCTCTTTGCTACCATTTTCTACCTTATTTTTGTCATCATCCTTCACCTTCTTGTTTTCTGATGTGCGTGTGTTGTCTCTTTAGACTTTCTCGTCTGCTGCAGGAAGAAAATGAATCAATATACATGTCAGCGTGTTCTTGAAGACTGCAGCTTCTCTGCCCTCGGGCCTTTAAGAAAGGAAATACACACACCCACACACACACAGCAATCATGCACGCCTTCACTCAGACATGTGACTGGCTACACAGAAACTATTATGTGTAGTTCATTATGAATGTAGAACCATCTGTCAGTGTAAAGAACGGTTTCTAGCCCAAAGACGAGGGATGTCAAAGAGAAGACAAGCTTGTGATTGTGAGGTTAAATCTAAAGGACGTGTCCTAAAAGGTCAAAGTACCAACAGCCAATCACTGAGGCCCGTGTGCCTGCGTGTGGCAGACACTTGGAGACAGAGTTAGAAGGAACTGCTGTTGTTCTGCCTACAGGGGGCAGCAGTCCAAAGAAACACAGTCACAAACCAGACACGAGAACACAGAGACAGAGGAGCAGAAGCAGGAAAACTAAATCCAGGATTATTGACTTTTATCTTCCCTTTGTGGTTCCATAGTGTAGTGGGTATCAGGCCTGCCCACACATCTGCCTTACACGTAGAAGGTCATAGGTTCGAGCTCCAGAGGAACACACCCTGTTGGTCAGATCTACTGTTAACACAACAATTAATCCACATGTCTGATCGATCAGATTCTCATTATTATTGTTGTTGTTGTTGTTGTTGTTTGTAACATGATACATGCCATTCTAATCAGAACTAGTATAAAGATCAAGCTTGAAAGCATTAGATCAAACTGGTTTATTGGTCTATTTATTGGGAGCAGCTGGTGTCAGGAGCGCCACCTTCCTTCCAGTTGACATGGGTCAAGAAACAAACACCTTCAGTTGTCAGCCATCACTTTGACTGATACACAATACCTTGAGTGGTCCTTGATCAGGCCTGGACAGTCCACTCTTCATGGACCTGAAGGATGAAACAGGAAGCAGTTAAAGACACTGATGTGTCTCACTGCTCTTTTTCTGCCAGGCTTCAGTACAAGAGTGTCTTTGTTGAGGAACAAGCTGGGACAAGTGAAGGCACGAGTTGAACACACATGCATTGATGCATATTTACCTACCTGTGTTACCAAGGATAAAGATCTGCGGCTGTAATAAGAAGATATCTTTAACGGTGAATTAGTTGGCAGAGCAGACGGAGCTGTATTTATTTCTACTCTACATTTTCTTTCCCTCTTTTATCACTTCCATCAAACCGAGCTTCACTTTGCCCCAGCTCACATCAGTAAAGTCTCTCTCTGCTTGTGTCAGCGTGAGTGGCAGTCAGCAGTAGAGTCAGATAAATGTTTTTTCCTCTACATTTTAGAAGCTTAAACCTGCAGTAAAAAAGCCCAGTTATGCAGTCGTCGGCTACTTTCACACAAGTGCAGGCACTTTGGTGGTTTGCAATAATGGACCAGGATAAAAACGACAGGTAATGTGGGTGTGGAGGAGGAAATGTCCCGACCAGAGCCTTATATACAGCAGGATGCATCTGCCACTTTGGTTCCAGTTAATGCTCCTTGATATAATACAGATCTGCCCTCCTGCCCCCGTATCACCATGATGATGTGCCCTGGGGGCTCCTTCTGTAGTGAGTGGAACAGGAGCCTCCCTGGATTTATTACAAGGAATATTTTCATCTTTTTCTCATAGGATTCATTTCTCCAGTTCATGGACTTTGGAGAACAATGGTTCACATTCAGATTTTTTTTTTCTCTCAACTTAAAGCTGAAAACGTCCACATGCTCCACAGCTTTGACAAATGTCTGGTGTTTTTGATCATTAGACGGCAGCTGCTGTGTTTACAACAGTATTCTCTTCTGTCCCCACTTTTTTATGTGGCACTAAACAGATGGCTGTGGTCGCTGCTTCTGCTGCTGCTGCTGCGACTGTGACTGAGTAAATGTGTGTTTATGTATTTGTACTTTAAAATCCTTAACCGTTCTGAATATCAAGCATCAGTAAAATGTGTGTCATTAAGGTTCTTTTCCCAGAACATTCTGTAAAAATGAGTTCTAGAATCTCTTCATGTGAATTTGTGGCTGAAGGCAACAGAACGGAAGTGCAGCATCTGGTCCCAAAGTCAGACATCCGGAGACGTTGGAGGTCCATCAAGGAAGGGTGTGGTCCATGACCTGCAGCTCTAAACAGAGGGTAGAGGTCAGAGGTCAGAGGTCACAGGCGGTAGATTGACTGCAGCTGTGATGCAACATAAACCTCTGCTTCCATGCCAGTGGTTGTCATTAGCCTAGACAGCTGTGTCCCCACCCAGTTGAAGGCGTGCTTTAACAGGAGTTATCAGAGAGGAAAGGTGGAAGTGAGGAGGAAGAACCAAATCTAAATGTAGAGTGGATGTGAAGGAGGCCAACCAGGCTCCCTATCTCTACCAGCAGAGGTCTGAATTCACTGCAGCACTTTATCCAAGGCAGCAAACCTGCAATTAATGAGTTCCTTCAAGATTTACTTCCCACCTCACGGGTAATAACCCTCCACCGCCTCCCGCTCTTCTCCCCCTCTCATCTCACCCTGTATTTCACCCTTCAACCACTGTTTGTGTCGTCTCTCATTTTCTTCTAGAGCTATTTGTTCTCCTGCGGGGGGTGAGGGTGGGGGGGTGTAGGACCTAATCACGCCAGCATCTGGTAATACCAGGTCTGCTAACTGCTAAGATCAAAGAGTGAGTGTTTGCCTAATGCAGGATTACACTGAGATACGGGGCCTGCAGCTTCAGCTCACTCCACCCCTCCACCCGCACCTCCACCAGCAGGGAGCTCCATTAGGCTCTACGCATTGCTCATTTTTCCGCAAGAGCTCCCGTGGGCTAAGAGGCAATTATGCAGTAGTGTGGCGTAATATTTCATTCCCTTCTCATTGCACTGCTCTACAGTGGAGCTGCCCGCTAACAGCTCCATGTGGCCCAGGAGGAAGGGTGCGGGCTACAAACAACTTCATACGAGTGGAGGGGAAGGGGGGGGGGGGGGGTTTCAATGGATGTTTTTTCAGATAATAATGAGATGATTTCGTTTGATTGACATGTCATAATAAAGTTGAATTTCTCTTTCAGAAATACGATCCAGTGGCCGAGGTCCAAAGGATGGGACTTTACGGCAGCTTCCTCTTTATGACACGCCGTATGAGCCGGCTGAGAACGGAGGTCCCGCTGACGCAGACCCTGAAAACCCCCGCTGCCCCAGAGAGAGCCGACTGCCCCGCGATGACGAGAGACCCCCTGAGGAGTACGACCAGCCGTGGGAGTGGAAAAAGGAGAGGATTTCCAAAGCATTTGCAGGTAAAATGGCCAGTCCAGAAAAAACAGTCGGCTGAAGGTTGTAGTTCAGGGCGGTGTGCTGCAGCGCCCCCTTTTATAGATAATATATTCTAAAGTACTCTTCTTGTTGAAGTAAAGAAATCATTTGAAAATCAAGGCAATTTCTGTAAAAAACAAACAAACTGTCTGTGTCCGCCCCAAACTTTAGACGCACTGATTTAAAGTGTGTGACGTTCTAACTATTAAGATTGTTTTATTTTGTCTACTTTGGGATTTCTGTGAGAGTTTCAGACTTTTAGAAGGTTCCAGAAGTCCGCCCTGATTTAACTGTCGTCCTTCTGCTCTTCTAACCCAAGCCCTGTCTCTGTTCTAGCACTAACACCTTTGACCTCCTGCTGCTGCTGCTGCCACTTTAACTCTGTC